CAATCCCTCATAATCCCCGGTCTAGAACGATCCCTACTTATATCTTTACTATAATTGTTAATAAAAGGGTTTAAATTGAGTGTTAGTTTTTATAACATCAACATCGGGGAGTTCATCTGGCCATTTTCCCTTCTTGTTGGTTAGGGATTTCTTGAGGCAGTCGATGATCATCTTGTTGGATGCTTCAGCCCGCCACTGGCTTGAGATATCTTGGCATGAACATGTGCTGCTTGATGCTATACTTTTGGAAGAACTTCGCCACATCTTGGCCCACGAATTACGGGCCGTTGTCGGGGACAATGGACTGAGGGATGCCAAATCGACAAATGATGTTCCTCCATATGAAGTGCTCTACGTCTGTCTGAGTCGTGGTCATCTTGGGCTCTGTTTCTACCCATTTGGTGAAGTAGTCGGTTGCCATGATCATCATGCCTCTCCCCCCAATAGTAGGCGGCATAGGTTCTACCAGGTTGATTGCCCACTACATGAATGGCTAAGGACTCATCTGCGGTGTAGCTCACTGGCAGGCAGTGCTGGTACTGGCTTGTAGCCTTGGTAACGGTCGTACTTTTGTACTAATTCCTTAGCATCTTGGTGCATGGTAGGCCAGTAATAGCCTGCGTTAAGAGCCTTCTGCGCTAAGGATTGTCCTCTGGAGTGATTTCCATAAACGCCTTTGTGGATTAAGCTTAGAACATTCAAGTCATCGGAAAGCGCTAAGCAGCGAAGATTTGGTCCGGTGTAGGATTTTCGGATGAGAATGCCGTTCCACATGTAATAGCGTGTTGCCTTGATTTTGAGCTTCCTAGACTTTAATCTTTTTATGGGGAGTGTGCCATTGACTAGGTAGTCTACGATAGAATCTTGTAAATTTGGAGTTGTACTAACTTGTGACACATTGGCTGTTGGCTTCGCCTCTATGCTTGGCTCGTCTAGATACTTCACCGGAATAGAGCGTTTGAGTTGATGGTCAAGGGCGAAGCCTAGGCCAGCTAGTGCGTCCACGTGAGCGTTGTCTGCCTGTGGAACTTGAGTGAGGGTGTAAGTCTGAAATGCCTCAAGTAGTCTTCCTAGTGATTAGCTGGGAGTTAGAATGAATTGCGAGCTTTTTCACTACCAAGTCTTTTACCATTCGGAAGCCTACTTGTAGGGTCTCGTATTCTGCTTCATTGTTAGATACTTTGAAACCTGGGCATCAAACCGTCTGGATGACAAGAACTACGCCTGCTCTTGAACCTTTGTAGTTGGATGCGCCGTGGACATGCAAATGCCAGAAGTCTCCATTAGGTGGAGCAGGCACGGCTAGGGCACACTCGGCTACCTCTAGAGCGTCGTTGGGCCGCTCTGTTGCATCATGAATACATGGTAGGAAGCTAAGGCCATGTTACATGTAGCAAGAGATGCTCAACTGCGGTATTGGACCACTTTAGCGTTGAATTATGGAGCAAGGGTCGGCTGGGACCGTGTTACACGTAGTAGGAAGTAGTGCTGAACTGCCGGTACATGTTGCTCCCATGTAGAATCTTTTGAGGCGACAAGGACAAAACTTGCTTTCGAGTGTGTCCTTCCAGTGTTCATCTGCCCTTGGCGTGCCTTTTGGGCCGAGTTGTTGCGTTCGTTAGAAAACTTTGCATTCGCTAGGGTCTTACGCCTTCATCGTTGCGTGTCTGGATTGGGCGGAATAATGCGTCATGAGGATGACTGCATATGTTTGAACGTAAAACTTGAGCTTCCGGGTTATAACAACTATCGCCAAAGTTAGCTTTTGAATATCTAATAGCATCGAGGAGAACTTTTGAACTATAAAATACAGGTAGTTAGGCCCCCAGCTTTTCTCGCATGATGGTAGAGCTTATTGCTGCTTTAGATACCATTAAACATGCGAATAAGTCGTCCGTTGCATCCGGTTTGGATTGTAAGGAAGTGATGTCGGGTACTTCTTCAAGTCCTTGAATATGCATTGGCGAGCCTCGTCCCAAAGTGCATGCTTCTCTGCCAAAGCGAAAGAGTCTGCCAAAGTTAGATCTTCTTTCATGATCAATTTTTCGAATAACGGGTGGTCTGTTGGAAGTCCTTTTTGGAAGGTTACTTTAGTTATCGAGTCGTTGCATACGACTATCGTTGCCTTCTTTGCTTTGAACCTCCTCACATAGTTGTGAAGTGGCTCATTTGGGTTCTTCTTGACATCGAACAAATGGTCGGACTTCTTTTTGATCGACCAATAGGATGAATATTCTTTGGTGAAAACCAAAGAAAGTTCATTGAAATTCCGGATGGATTTTTACGGCAGGGTATAAAACCAATCTTACGCCTCGCCTTGTAGAGTGGTGGCCAATATCTTGCGCATGAGATCATCGTTGTTTTGATAGAGGATCATTGTGCTTCCGTAGTGTTTTAAGTGTCTCTTCAGGTCTTCATCCCCTTTGAAAGATGTGAAATGTGGCATGCTGAACTCGCGTAGAGGCTTTGCCTGCTCGATCTCATCCATAAAGGGTGACCTGCTTATGTTGGTCATGTTCTGTCGTAATGCCTTGTTGGTGACCTTGTTGCGTTGGAAATTACGGAATCGTTTGGTCAAGAATCTCTCTACTTCTTCCTAAATTTGCCTTTATTGAGGTAGTGGAGCTCTCGGATGCCCCCAATTGTGATTTGCTGGTCTAAGCTGCTTTTCCATGTGTTTGGCTCATCTATGCCGTGGATGCGGTGCATGTAGCGCTTTCCTAGCAGGCGAGCGAGTCCTTTGCAGGCTGCCGGTTGAACTTGAGCCAGATTGAGTGATTGTTTCTATCCGTTCGTCGTGCTGCCTACTCCGATGTGAGGTGGAGGATACTCTTTGCGGGCTTAACAGCGAATGAACACTTCACTTGGAAGGTTGCTCATGTTGATTATCGGAGTGTAACCCCAACTGTGAATGTATGCTCATCTGTGGGCCTAATCGAGAGTGTACTCTCCTTCGCGCTCTAAGATGGGAGTATACACTATCTCGGGGGCCTAATAGGGAGTGTACACTACGTGAATGCTCGGTCCGTGGCTGGTCAAGTGGCTGCTTGCCTGGACGCTGCTGGAGAGGTTCTTTGTCTACCCTTGTCCTACTTTGGGACACCTTGTTTGGGGCACGTTGCATCTCGGTGCGCTGCAACAGTTGGTTCACCAAGGTCGTCTGCTGTGCGAGGGTGCTCGTTAACTCTATGACTTGTCGAGACAAGTGTTGTTCTCCATTTGGGTTGGAATAGCTTGGAATGAATGCGTCTTCTTGAGCAGTGAAAATGTGGTAGACTCCAAGTGCGAGATTTGAGTTGGGAAATGCCAAATCCGTAGAAAAATGTGGTGAAAATGCTCCTAGTTCGATCGTCAATCTGCAAATTTGGAGCCGGGATAGTTGAACTAATCTTGGATCAATTTGGGCTACTTGGAAGGCCACGGGAGCAGAGTGGGCCACGGAAGCAAGTTGGGCCACGAGAGTGGGCTGCTCGGTTGGAGCAGGCTGGGCCACGGGAGTGGGATGCTCGGCGGGAGCAGGCTATGTCATAAGAGTGGACTGCTTGGCGGGAGCAAGCTTGGCCACGAAAGTAGGCTACTCGGCTGGAGTAGGCTGGACCACAAGAGTGGGTTGCTTGTCAGGAGCAGGCCGGGCCACGAGAGTGGGCTGCTCGACTGGAGCAGGTTGTTCGAAGTGTGATGCACATGGGTGCGAGACTTGGGCTCGCCTTGGCAGGGCATTGAGTTCGCGTTGGGCTTGGAGTGACATGTCTTGGGTCGTGGCCTTGGTGCCGTGAGCCTTGGATGGCACAATTCAGGTCGTGGTAACGGTGCCATGGACCTCACTGCGAGTAGTGGTGACCGTGGTGGCCACCGCGGTGGTTGCCATGATGGAGCCCCGTAACGATGGTGCTGCTCCTATGATCACATTTAGCCTCGAGAATCGCCGTGGTCCCATTTCTTTTAATGCGAGAGTCTTCTATGAGTGTGTGACTCTTTTCTCTCTGAAAGCACCAATTTGTGGATGCAAATTTCTTCCTCCTTGATCTTGGACAAAATTGCACCTACAAAACAATTAACATCTTAAGTCAAGGCCAAGAGCCTCACATACCCACGATAAATGAAGGGGCTTTGGTCGAAGAACCTCCGATGCCAAAGTTAGAATTTAGAGAGAAAAAGTGTTTGAGAATTCTAGAGAATTTTAGCAAGAGTTGGAAGTGGTTTTTGGGAGAGAATGGTGAGCTATATATAGGGATATGGCCGACCATATTAGGAGAATAGGGACCGGCCATTTAGGTAATTTTTAGGTGTAAATTATGGTTAATTAGCCATTAATAGATTATTAGGTAATAAATATATTAATTGACTAATTAACATATTTTGAAAGAAATTATTTGGGGAGTTATGGAATGATTAAGATAATTAGCTAATTGATTAGAAGGAATTTGATGAGATAGTTTTTGAATTGTTACTTATTTTGGATACTTTTGACTTGGTTGAGGGATGATTACCCGCTGCTCGCGCGTAGGAATCCCGTTATGCCTGAAGGGTATTTTTGTCCTCTTTTGTCCAAAAATTCACGTGTAACATTGTGATTATTTTTGGCTCCACAATAGTTACCATACATGATAATATGCATATCTGAATTTACTATAGACGCTTAACCGCAATTCATAGTTACCATAATGGATTTTTTCATGGTTAACATAAGTAGAAATGGTATAACAATGCACCAAATTATTATTATTCCCATTTGATCATTGAAGTCTCTAGGTTGTTCTTATCTGTAAGACGTGACGTCTTCATTTTATTTTATCTGTAAGACGTGTCATGCCTTATATTAACCATGACAAATGCGCGTATCTACAATTACCATACACTATAATATGCATATCTGGATTTACCATAGACGCTTAACTGCAGTTCATAGTCAGCATCGTGCATGGATTAACCATGGTTAACTTGAGTAGATACGCTATAAGTAGAGGGCTAAAGTCACTATTGTCACCAGTAGAGTGTGTTGAGCGGTGACTTGTCATGCAAATTGTGCCCTTATGCAAGTGTTGGCAAGTCACATTTGACAAGTGTCAACCCAACAAAAAGACTTTGACGAAGCTGAACCAGTCCACGCGCGTGAGAAATGGCACCGGAGGCTAAAAGCAGAGCGAGAGGGGGAGGAGGAAGAAGCGGCAAAGCCACAGATTCCGGTGCTGCAGCTGCCGTGGCCAGCGCAGTTGACCTCCTGCTAGAGATCCTGATGCGCCTCCCGGCAAGACCCCTTCACCGATTCAAATGCGTATCGAAACAATGGTACTCTCTCATCTCTGACCCCCAATTTAGAATCGATTACGTCCAAAAGAACCCTAATCATCTTTTGGGTTTGCTGCTGATTATTCAAGGTCCATACTCTGAATTTTCGTTCATTTCCCTTGGAGGCTGTGGCCAAATTGTTAAAGACCCAAAGTTTTTAAGCACCACCAATCTCAAAATTCATCATTTCTGTAATGGGTTGATGTGTTTTTCCAAGCCTCACAAGGATTCACCTCAGTTTACTTCTTATTATGTTTGTAATTCTGCTTCCGGGCACTCGAAAAGAATTCGGGTTCTTGAGAGCTCGACCAGAAAGAGATTGATGGCTGTTAATGTGGCTTTTGATCCTTCAAAGTCACCCTTCTACAATGTCGTTTTTGTTAGTGAAGAATCCGGGTCGGAACTGAACCATCTGATCAAAATTGATATATACTCATCCGAGACCGAGGCTTGGAGACCCAGCAGCAAGGGGCTGTACATTGTGCCTTACGATGTGGATTTTGACAATGGGGTTTACTGGAATGGGGCAATTTATTGGTACCATCAAAGGAAAAACTCTTTGGCGTATTTTGATTTGGATACCGGTTGCCTTGAAAGATTACGAATGCCACTGCTTTCTCTGGGATCGTATCCCATGGTTTTCGACCATTTTGGAGAATCAGGTGGCCATCTGCATCTTGTTGGGATCTGCAGTCCAAGGACTACTCTGTTCACTGTGTTTGAATTGCAGCAGGATAGGTCCGGTTGGTTTGTGAAGTGTAATGGTGATTTGGATGCCGTAGCAGCTGCTTTCCCAAAGATGGTTACCCTTAAACCCAGTAACCCTTATGTGTTTTCTGCAGTGAGCCTTGTTAGAGAAGAAAAAGAAGAGGAACTGAGTATTGTGCTAACGATACCTGGGAGTGTGGTCAGATATGATGTCAAGCATAAGACATCAAGGAAGCTCTGTGATCTTCCAAAAGGCTGTATGTTCAATGACTTTATGGCTATACAGAGGAGGGTTAAGGCGCATCAATACATTGAGACCCTTGATTCCATCTGAAAGCAGTGCTTCTCTGGTATCTCCTCTATCCACCTTATCTCTATATAAAGATGCTTTGGCAGTGTTTCTGTTTTATACATGTGACCGGGTTGTAGATTGGAAAATCAAAACTGTTGCAAAGAAGTTTAGTTGAAGTATATTGCTTTCTAATGAACTGAGATTAAGCATGCTTGTTGCGTCTAATTTAGAGCCTTCAAGGCTTGAGCATATTTATGACCATGTTGAAATGTTTAATAACTATGTGACCGAGGCTCACTGCTATTTCCCAACACCTGTAAAATAGATTTATGAATGGAATTAAATATGCAGTATTTACAGACCAAAGTATTTGGTTATTGGGGAAAACTCAATATACTTCTGATGTCGAATCAGGATTGTGTGTTCCTTATAATAATAGATGCATAAGATTTGTTTCTTAGAAGTTCAGCATTTTTCGTCTATTGAATGAGTCTGCCACCGCAGCTGCTCTGCCCTGCAGATTCACTAGGAACTTTCGTTCAAGTTCAATATCTTGATCTCTCAATTTGTTGTTAATTTCTAGCAGATACTTACTAGGTTTGTTGCTTCAAAATTTGGATCCTCGTACGATAGAGAATATCATAAATGCAGTTCTTTCAGGTGTTGCTGCTACTGCTATAAAGAAGCAGGAATTGGGTTAACAGAATAAGCTTGTTTTATATTGTGAGGGATAGACTGGAAGTTTGATTTCTAGATCACAAGTTGGAACTGGTATTGCTAAATCAGTGGAAATCCCAGAACTTAGATATTTTGGTAGAAATTGTCTGAAAGTTGAAAGTAGAAGATGGATTAGTTTCGAAGAAACTTATCATTTCCAATTCTAGCAAAACTGGTAAGAATCGAGGATTAAGTTTCCTTCGTTCTTATGCATCTTTTATCTTCAACTGGGACAAACTTTGGAAGTTGGCATCCACTTCATCATTCAAAATACACTGAGTTAACTGAATTATCCATTTCATTCCGATCATAGACATCAAAAGAGTGTTTTTGAGAGGCTTTGTTGTGAGGGTTCTTGTTGCCATTTTTTATTACCAGCGGACCTTCTTATGAAAACTTTATTCTTAATTTCATTTCAGGTTTATTGAAACCATCAAAGAAATCACAAAGTTTTCCAACTCAAAATTCCATATTTATGTGAGTAATATGCTGATTTAGTCACTAAATTATTACCCAAGTGAAAATTAAGTTTTATTTTTATAGAAAAATAAGTTCTTAAAGGCATTAAAAACTGCAAATTCTATTCCTACTAGTAGATTCGAAGCTATTCCATTCAATTCTCTATCAAAGTAGTACCTAGAGTGTGTCACATTCAAAATATGTAACTTAAACTGACGAAAAATTGAATTGAATAACTTTGAATCATTTAATAAGGATGAAATTGACAACTTTTAATGAGTTTAAGTACCTATTCTTCCTCAAAAAAAAAGTTCATGAATCTAAATTTCACACGGGTAATGGTAGACCCACCAAAGCATGTTTCCTTTTTCGGTTATGTTTTCGAGTCGTACACTTGTAAATGGACCAAATTCGAATCGTGTCCGCCTTTATTCATGTTCGTGTCCATTTATGATCTGAATCTTCAAATCATCATATATGACTTGCGGATCCATATTCGATATCATCGGTAACTTTATTTTTTTTTGTATATTATTCTATTTTAAAAAATTGAGAGCAGCCTCTCCATAAATGGGGGTAAGGCTAGCCGACATTCACCTCTCCCAGACCCTGCGTAAAGCGGGAGCCTTGTGCACTGGATACGACCTATTCTATTTTAAAAAAAATTAAAATATCATTAGTATCTTTATTGGAAAATAGGGTATATGAAGGAAAGTTGTGTCATAACTAAGAACATACAAGAACATTTGAGCATGCAAACATGCATTTAACATTTTAAAATAGGCATGCATTAAACTGATACCAATTGAAATTGGTACTAGGTGGAATATCATGTATATAAAAATTATAATTTGCTGGACTAACTAGTAAGTCCAACTAAGATAGATTTGTTAGTCAATAAATCGAAGATTCAATTACCAATTTCAATTCCCAAAAACTATCCTAGTCAGCAAGGCAGTAGTTCGTTGCAAGTTATTAATGTGTCAAGTAGGCAACATTGTGAGCACATACCATCTAAATGTTCGATAGATATGTTTATCATATATGTGTATGTGAGGTGTGACACAATAAAAATAACTTGAACACAAGATAATTTTGGCAGGAAAAACCCACATCTAGGTTAAAAAATTGGGGACACCACTAAGTCTAATCCACTAGTGTAAACAAAGGTTCATACAAAGACCACACAAGCTCAATTTCTAAATCCCTATCTATGGAGTAGCTTTACCTTTGTGCAACCTTACCTTACACGATGGACTCCTTCGATCTTCACGAAGTGGCAGCTCCTCTTAAGCTCATCACCTTATGTCACCGAGATCAACACGATCAATGATATGATATGATTTTATGATATGCATATGAAATATGGATTCAAATGACCAGTCAAATTCTCTAGTCAAACAGTTGAAGGAAGAATCTAACTTGAATCCAAAAGCTAGGTCTAAAACCGAATTTAAAGCTTAAAACCAGACCAAGACATAAATGCAAAACCTTAAAACAATGCAACCCTAATACATAATGATTGGGTGTTTAATGCATGAGGAAGGTTTGGCAGTTATGGTTTCATAAATGGATAAAATGCAAGTTGAAACCCTAAAGAACAAATATACCCAAGTAAATCAGCATCAGCCAACTTGTCCCAAAGACACTTGTCTCCTGCGAAAAAGATATAGGCAGATGAATGGTCGAAAACTAACTACCAGCAGAAAGGTGTAGGCTGCCTTAATTTGTGTACCTAGACAGCTGGAAGTCAACACGCAAAACTGACTAGACAATTAACCTAAACAAAATGCAACACAAATAAAGATATGAGATGCACATGCATGTACAAACCTTTGAAGTCAGGGGAGCCACATCCTTGAACGTTTAATCCCAGTAGTAGGATCCCCTAATCAGAGAATGTAGTCTTAAACTAAATTAAGCATGTGGTACACATACAATATTTGACAAGGAAAGCCAAACACTTAAAATTAGACTTTACAATACGGTCATTCTATAATTCAATACTCTTGAACACATTGTTTAACTAATAGTTTATTTTGAAGGATTATTTTGTGAAAACATGTTCATTTGAATAACATCTATAGCATGCAATTAACAATTAAAAGGCGGAATCATGCTTGCATGCATTCAAAAACAAAACATTACCCATGAAATTCAAAGCCTAGTAGATTGGTGAACCATGAATCAACTCAAAACAAAGTGAGTTGAAACTTATACCTTTGTAGATTCCTCTTTGCATAAGCAAAGGCTAATCACCGAAAGAGAGGGCCTTCATTCCTTGCATCTAAAATCTATGGATTTGGATAGATGAAAAGGTTTCTCCAAGTTCCCAAAATTGAGAACCTCTAAGTCTCTACACCAAGGAGAGATTGGAGAAGGAATGAGTGACCTTGGAGTAGTGGGATTGCTAGATCCACCCTCCAAGGGGGCCGGCCTCCTAGAGAGAAAAAGGAGAGATATGTTCTCACCAATTTTCTCCAAAAGAACCCTTAATGAATTTTAGGCTATAAAGTTCTTTATATAGTCACTTCTATAAATGACCTAAAGAACCAAAAAACCCTAATTCAACTCATATGGCCGGCCACATTAGGGATTTGGGCTTTTGGGCATTTGTGAATCTTTATTCATTAAATTGTCATACAACTTAAGTCAATGGGCTTGACGTTCGAAGCCCATTGGGCCTTAAGGTCCAAAACTATCCCGAGGTCGTTAACGAACTTATTCGTTTGATTAATTAACATATTAATTAATCCTTGCCATAAATAATTAAACCTTTTAATTATTCTTACTCATCTCCATTGTTTCTTCAATCTCCACCTTACACGGTGTACGATCCATTAGGTTCCTTTTAGCGAGGCAGTGGGCGATTAAAACTCTTTCAAATCGATTGTGAATTGAAACTTACTTTCAATTCTCCCCTTTAGTGATTATACACGTTTAGGGCTTCCACAAACCATGAGTGACACCTAGCAGCATATCATGGTTACCCAAGCTAATCAGAAGAGGTGGAGAACCTATTCAGTTTAGGATTACAAATGCAATACGGTCTTTCTCTAATACAATACTCTTGACCACATTGTTTTGGTTTGATAGTTTTATTCATGTCTACTATCCAATGTGATTCGTGTGCTTATATGATTACCTTGAATGTGATTTGGAACGCCTTCCTAAATCTCATTCATACTTTGGCCAAAGATTCTTAATCATATCATAGAGTATTCTCCCTCAAACGGTTTGAAGGTTAGAGATCCCTTGTTGCGCATTCACTTGCCTCCATGGCTAAGTAGCTTAACCCCAACGATGCCGTGGACACCCGCGGATGGGGTGACTTTGACATAATCAAAGATCAAGGACTTAACCACAAGACAACTGTGATGCCTCAGGTCAAAGGACTACTTTGCATTATCCCAACCATGAGTTCTCATGTGACATGAATATGAGAACTCTTCGTTGATCGTGTTCAGTGAACTCATTCTCTATTGAGCACCTACGTACTTGTCTTGATGTCACACACACCAATGACTCGAGACTAGTCACTCTCCCTGAGAGAAGACACATCACGTACTGATCTTAACGGATTATCAATGCCCAATTGGCAATCCTATGATCAGGAACGTTTAGGATGTGTCTACGAAAGAATGGTCTCATGAATCTAACTTCTTTAGATCATATTCTCCCAATCACATATTCCTTGGACTTATCGTTTAAGCATATAACATTTATATGAGACGGCTTAAAACAATAATCTATGCCCTTGATATTAAACTAGATTAGTTTAACATGTGAAATGTCCGTAAAGTATCATCATATGATTGGTTTTAGGGCACATTTCCAACATATTTCATGTCTACTATCTAATGTGATACTTCTCTATATGATTATTTTGGATATGATTCAGAACGTACTTCTTAAATCTCATTCATATGTTTTGCCAAAGACTCCAGAATCATATTTCAAAGTATTCTCCTTCCACTATTGAAGGTTAGAGATCCATTGTTGTACATTCACTTATCTATATGACTAGGTAGCTTAGCCACAACAATGTCGTGGACATTTTCAATGGAATGCCTTTAACATAGTCAAAGATCAAGGACCTAACCACCATACAACTATGTATCTCAAGTGCTATTTTAACAACCGGTGCTAGGCGGTTGTCCACCATCCTGATTATTGCGTAGGCGTTTGAAAATTAAGAAGCGGCACCTAGACCTGCTGAGGTACCCGCCTACTGCCCATACCTACCTAGGCGCCCATCTAGGTTGTGACTCACTTAGATAGAAAATA